TGGGAGGAGTACCACAAATTATGTGCTAAAAAAGAACTTATCTAGTTTCAAAAATCTAGGGCCAATTGGTTATAGTAGGGATATAAGAATACCAAATTCTTTTATGCTACAACTAAGATTAGGAGGAAAAGAAGTAAGATCCTGACTTTGAAGGATGACAATGGAGAATAGGTTATAGATCTTAATGCTTTGAAATCCATGGCTAACTTATATTTTAAAAATATGTATGCCAAAGATCAATGTGTTTCTAATCCTTATAGGTGGATAGCCAATTTCACTGCGATCAAGGAATATGACTTAAGAGAAATCTAGAAAGAAGTGACTAGTATTGAAATTAGGAATGCAGCTTTTGTCATGGGAGCTTTCAAAGCTCTAAGGCCTAATGGAATTCAAGCTCTTTTTTTTTTTCCAACAATGGCATCTTATAGGTAACAAGGTTTGCAATTCAATCAAAAACATTTTTGAGGATCCTTCTAAAATCAAAGAAGTGAATCAAACTAATGTGATACTTCCTTTAACCCTTAAGGACCTTCGACTAATCTCTCTTTGTAATGTAAGCTTCAAAATTGTCACCAAGATTCTCGCTACGAGACTAAAAAGGTGCATGAGCTACTTGATCAAACCACAACAATGTAGCTTTATGAGAAATAAGAAAAGAATAAAAGGCTTTGTTGCATTGAAAGTTGACATGGAAAAAGCATATGATCATTTGGATTGAGACTTCTTTGCAAATACGCTTTCTAAAATTGGTTTAGATGCTAAAATTATCAATCTTATCATGACTTGTGCGTCAACAAATACCATGAAAATCTTATGGAATGGTGAGGAACCCCCCCCCAATTTTCCCCTACTAGAGGTCTTAAGCAGGGAGATCCTTTGAGTCCTTACCTATTTATGTTATGTATGGAGCGACTTGGTCATGCAATTGAAGAGGAATGTTAGAAGAATAGATGGAAACCTTTCACTTTTCAGGTAATGGTCGTGCTATTTCTCATCTTTTTTTCACTGATGATCTCCTTTCTCCTTCTTTTTTCAGAAGCTTCAATTAAACAAATGAATGTGATTAAAGGAGTTATGTCTAATTTTTGTAATGTCTTTGGACATAGGGTAAATTTAAATAAGTCAAAACTCTTTTGCTCTACAAATGTGAATTTTAATAGGGCCATGAATCTGTGGCAGGAGGTAAGGATAGATCTCATTTGTGATCATGGAAAGTACCTTAGTGTCCTACTACTTCACACCAAACTAACTAAAGCTACTTTAAACCTCTTATGAGTAAGGTTTGGAAGAAATTGTTCATGTGGAAAGGTAATTTCTTAAGTATGGCAAGTAGAAGTATTATCATTAAGGCTGTTATCTTTGCCATCCCTATCTATTACATGCAATCCATGCTTCTGCCCAAAGGAACCTTTAATGAAATTGAGAAAATTAGTAGAAACTTTTTGTTGAATCAATTTGATGAGATGAAAAAACTTCACCTTATTGCTTCAAGTAATATTAGAGGAAAAAAAGATGAAGGATTAAGGTTCAAGGATCTCCATCGACAAAACAGAGCCTTTATGTTTAAACTTTGTTGGGGAATCCTCTGTTACCTAGATCATCGTTGGGTGAAGTGTCTAAAAGCCAAGTACCAGTGTGATAGTGGGGGCCATTTGATTATTTCAAAGAAGCATTGTTCCTCTGCTACTTGGAAAGGAATTGTTGAAGTGTGGGATGATTTTTGCAAGGATGTTAAGAGGAGAATTGTGAGTGGATGTGAAACTAGATTGTAGTGGGATTTACGGGCAAACCTTGAACGACCCTTCATTACGTATATCACAATTGGGAGCAATATAGGGAACTTGTGAGCCTTAGTTAAGGATTTTGTTACTGAGGATGGTGAGTGGGACACATCTAAATGTGTTAACTATCTCTCTTTAAGCACAAGTTTTTTCATCTTTTGATAAGCTCTCAAGCTGAATGGAGTATGCCACCTCAAGATTATGTTCAGTTTAATATGGATGCATCCATATTCATTGGTCAACAAGCAACATGTGGAGTGGCAATCAATAACTCTAATGGTATGTGGATCTATGGCTTTCAAAGACTTAGGCCAAAGGAGAATTAGCACTGCTAAAATTCTAGCAATTAGAATTGGATTGAAAGTATGCAAGATGTTTGGATTCTTGAGAATCAAACTCTATATTGATTCTCTTGAAGCCATTAATATTTTGATATGAGACGTAAATTCTAGAAATGCTTTCAGAGATAAGCTGGAGTAGACTAGAGAAATCATTTTTTTTTTATGTCCAAATTTCTCATGCATGTAAGGAAAGCTTGGAATTGGTTGGTAGACTCACCAAGAATGCATATGGTGTGGAAGATACTGTTCTCCTCTAAACTATGCTTACTTATTGTAATAGGGTCTTTCAAGTGTTATTAGATGTGGATCTTTAGCTTTATTACTTAATGCTTAGTTGTCTTATCTATATCTGGAGTCAGGAATAAAGGCCGAGCCTAGAGGGTCAAGCTTGAAAAATTTCTCTATTTAGATATGACCTAAAAAATTGGTGGTTTTTTTAGGAAACCAAGCTTCTAGGCTCAACCCTAATAGGCCTTGAAAAATGGGCTCGAACTTGGGCGGCCTTTCAAGCGTTGTTTGCCAAAATGTTGATGATTTTTTAAGTATTGTGTTGTCAAAATAATTGATGTTGTTTCTTTTGCTATTTATTTTAAAATGATATTGACAAATTTTTTATTAATTTCTTAAATACGATTACTTTGTAAAGTCTATTTTTTAGTTTTGCTTAATGTTGTACTTTATGATACATAAGTTTTAGTATTTATCAAATTTGATAAGGTTGATCTGAATTAAAAATTTCTATCTTCATTCTAAAACTTGATTAAGATTTTATATCTGTATTTAAATTTATTTATTTTATTAAATTTTTTGTTTTTTTTAAATAAAGCTAACTTATGAGCGCAACCCTAAGCCTTTGAAATAAGAGCTAAACTTTAAAAATTGATCATTTTCTAAAAAATCAGGCTCAAGGGCTTGAGCAGTTAAGGGCCAGGTCTTCCCATTTTCCCACCTCAATCTGTATCATTAAGTGCGCGTTTGGATAACAATTTTAATTGCTATTTGAGGGAAAAATCAATTTTTGCCAAAATTATTCAAACACACATCAATCCAAAAACTCAATTTTTGCCAAAAAAAATTGATTTTTTTTTTCTGAAAGCTTCCAAAGCCAGTTTTTGCATTCAATTATTGAAGGAATATGGGAAAATTACAAGAAATGCTCGGGAAAAAAATTATAAGAAAGGCACAAAATTTAATAAAACTAAAATCAAACTCTCTTCTCTTCTATTTTTTTTAGTAAAATTTAAAATTTAGATCCTTAAAAAAGTTATTAGCATAAGTTTCTATCAATCACCCTCTCCATTTAGCACTTGTTATAAAACTAATTTAAATAAAATATTAATTGGTAGAGAAAAAATAATTTAATTTAAAATTGAGGGTCATTACAAAAATTGTTACAAAGGTCCAGAGAGAAATTTTGTATCATTTGTTATATTGCTACATTTTTTATATTGCCAAAATTTCTAAACAGTATTTAACATCTTCATTAGATATGACTTATATTCATGATGTCATTAGAGATCAACTTATACATTATCATTTTCATTAGTTATTGTAAAATTAGTGCTTGGTATTTAAAAATTAAATCTTTCTTTTTTATTAAATTTATTTGAACTAAGATATATTGAGTTATTTATTTACATATATTAAAATTGTTAATATTAATATAATTTAAATTTTTATAATTAATCATATATATAATTTAAATAATATATTTTACTCTTTAAATATTACATACAAATTTATCAATAATTTAATTTTAAAAGGTAATGTCTTTTATGATAATTTATATAGCTAAAATTAATTCTAAATAAATTATCCAAACATCTTAAATTCTATTAAAATAAATTTAAAAAAAATAATATCCAAACATATTGTATTATAATATAATCAAGGATAAACATAACTTTTGGTCCATGTACTTTGCTCACATTTTGCTTTTAGTCCTCATACTTTTTTTTTGTGTTTTAGGTTTCTAGACTTTTATTTTTCATTATTTTGGGTCCTTCTAAGGTCCTTATACTTTGCTCATAGAGGGATCAAAAATAATGAAAAATAAAAGTATAGGGACCTAAAATATCAAAAAAATATAGAGACTAAAAATAAAATATAAGTAAAGTACAGGAATCAAAAGTTATGTTTACCCTACAATCAATTATGATTAAAATTTACTATTTAATTAATTATTTTTATAGTCTATTATACCTAACTAAAATATAAACAGGCACTAAAATGTTCAAGTTAATAGTGTCTAAATGTGTATTTTGGTATAGCATACTTTCAAGCGTTTGCTTGCCTATTGTAATAAAAAAAAAATAGTGAATTCACCTGCCTTTTAGTTTTTTATCGTACATTAACATTTAGTTTGATAAAAGGAAAAGAGAGGGACCTTGCAAACTCTTCATTAGAAATTATAAGATATTTTTAATTAACTTTCACTTTAAAAACTTAATATTATTAAAAAATTATTTATTTTTTATTTCTATCATTATTTAATCAAATAACTTAATCACAAACAAATATATAAATTTCATTAATTTATATTTATTGAAAACATTTCTTAAAATTTCATTAGTTATTCATAGAAATCGTTAAAACACCTTATTCAAATAAGATACTATTGTATCTCTAGAAAAGATCTCTATAAATTTAAACCGATAGAATATAAGAGGAAAAAAGAAGAAAGATTTTAATAATCCTTCTTTTTTTTTCCCCTAATCGAGCAATTTAATTTTATCCAAATAAATGAATGAGGAATGGAGTAAAATAGGTCCCTTTCACTCCCCTTCGAATGCTTTCAACCAAACATACCATATGATTCACTTTTTGAAAGAGTTTAGTATCGTAATCCTGAAGACACGACTCGCGAGTCAGTTGCTAGTTCAGAGCTAAAGCTACTACTTATTTCATTAATCGAGTAGTATTCACTGGACCTTAGCATGAGAAACACATTAATTTGAAGCCAATGCCATTTGGCAGCTAAAACTAGAACTACAATTGGCTGCTTAGAAAGACCTCATATACATGTAGTCATGTACATAGAAAAAGAAATCACAGCCTATGGAAAATATATGAAGGCAAAATACCTAAAGCTGTACATGAGCTGGTTCACTTGCGTTCCAGCTCCATGGCTTCCAACGTTGGGCTATGAATATCATCGTAGTAGAGAGGGAAATGAGTGAAAGCATTAGTACGATTTGTCCTTGCTTCTGGATTATTCACAACACCAGACTCCACGTCCTGCTCATCCTCTGTATTAGTAATATTCTGGTTATTCCTGTTTGCACTGGCTCGTGATTCCTCTTCCACTGCTTGGAAATATGCATATGAACCCCATCCTGAAAATCACCAGATTTCAAATAAGCATGGAGAAACTCAACATTCCTTAAATTCACCGATTTAAAAGGGATAATGATACTTAGTCCTTTAAGTTTGTTTTAATTATCAATTTGGTTCCTCAATTTTTGATAACTTGGTCGTTTAATTTGACTCCGTCAATCCACCATCCATCTTGTCTTTATTGTTTAAAGACAAGTTAGCACTGTTTAAATCTACAGACATGAATAATGCAATATTGAGCTGACAATCATGTAAATTAATGAAAATGAGTATAATTATTTATATTAAAAAAAAAGAAAATAAACTGAGCAATTTTAAAAACAAAATGCAATGTACAAGAAAATGAGAGAAAATAAAGAGGACAAGAAAATAAGAAAATAAGCTGAAAAAGAAGAAAATAAAAAACAATTAATTTGTTCTCATTTAATTATATATACAAAAGCCAAATTATCAATATACTTTACATAAATGGAAAAGAACGGGCAAGAATCAGAGAGTGACAACCAATGTCAATCTGACCAGTGACCACAGAAACATCTATTCTTGTTTTCAGATGACAAGGTGCTCTTCAAGACAAATATCCCAAGACACAGTGATTCAGTGAATTAAGAAGAAAAGACGCACATTTATTACTAAACATTTGAGATATAGTTATAATTATCGACATGTTTACGGTTACCCCATGGTCCAATATACATGGGACGATCAAATATGCCTCAGAGAAGGCCAACAAAATTTCAACTTAGTAATTTAAACCTTGTAGAGAGGATTTATTATAAGATGTCAAAAGAACAGAGATAAATGTGTTACCATCGTCATTATAAGGGGATGGAAAGAACTGCCGATAGCAAAAGGTTGCTACAACAAGCCCTGGAAGAAACATACAAAGAGGAGAAAGTTTATTTCTTGTTCTAATTAATTGAGTTCTGATATTGATATAACACTAGATTATTTTTCTTGCAAGGTAAGTGATTAGAAAAAGACCTAGAAGACCTCCAGCAAACACATCTTGCCAATGGTGCCAATAATCATCTACCCGAGAGACTCCAACTAGAGAAGCAGCAAGTAGAGGAAGAAAAACAATGCATAGCTTTGCCACATGGCCTCTTCGATCAAATGCTTTAATCTTCCCAGATAGGTACAAAGAAAGAAAACCTAAGCCTGCAAATGACCCTGCAGAACTGAATTTCATGAGATCAAAAGTTCTTGTATAAAATATATTTCCCCACTGATTAGCTAGTACTACGATGGAGTGAGAAAAAATTTAATCAGCATGAACAAAATCTACATTATAAATAGTGTTCTTTGCGGGTTAAAAACTACATGAAATTATTGCCCCTCTTTGACCCTCTATTTTCAAATAAAAGAGCAGCACAAGTGAAATATGCTTGCAACGCGTTTACCGTATCAGTTAATTAGTGATTTAAAAAACTAACTGAAATATTGTTGCTCACAAGATGTATGGCCGCTTGGGAAACTCTTGTGTCCTTCTTTTATATCACTAACCTTGCCATGACAAACCACACCTCCCCATTTATCGTAAACCTGTGAAGGTAATGAAGGAGATGTAATTATAATGACCACCTTCCAAAGTAGATTATCATGTGCTATACAAATTGATTAGTTTGGGAACTGTTCCCCACCATTTTGTAATTAAGTTGTTAAGCTGAGCTTAGGCTCTCTTTTTCCAAAAGGGGAAAAAGGAAAGGAAAAATTGGCAGCTTACTCAGTACAGATAGTTTGCTGGAAACATTCGGCAATCAGAGCTAATGAAGATCAGAATATGCCAAAGAACAATCATGATTAAGAAAGGAAAATTTTCATTGTCATATGCACAAAATTGGGCACAAGTCCCCCCCCCCCAACCCCAACCAACCGGGCGCGGATCTCAAACCTCTCGCAGTCTCTCTCTGTCCAAAACATTTTTGGTTAACATTAAACTATCTAACGTGAGAAAATGCAGTCTATACAAGAACTAGAGTCTATTCCATGACCCTACTGAAATAAGAGAGTTAGCAATGAGAGGACAATCTCTTTTAACCATGTTTTTAGGTAAAGGGAAGCCAATTCTTGCACTGACAAGTTAATTCACTATACTCATAACATGGATGTATAGAGTTTTAGCTAATGCAAAAAGTATCTTCAGGTTATTCGAATCTTGAGTTAGTTTTTTTTTTTTGTTTTGCCGGAGAATCTTTTGTTAGTTGACGTGTATAATATCTTCCACATGGCTTTTCACTATATCTCATTTATAAAAATTGATTATATTGATATTGATGTTAACAATACAATCAATTTGAATTAGACGATACTTGCCTCTACCCCGTCAGGAAAGCAACGCCAAAAGAAGTCTGGTCTAGGCCGGCCAACTGCATCTTTTATTGCATCAGTCATCACTGCAGTGACCAGCACCGCAAATAGGAGACCTACTAACGATGAAGTACATTATTTACTAACTTTTCAACTACCTTTAGGTACTGATCTACGCATATGAAAGTGAAAAGAAAATTTACCTAAAATACTGTTGTGCAAATCATAAACATCTCTCCTCCGCATATAGAAGAAAAGGAAAACAGCAATGGGCAACAAAACTGCATAGAGCTGACAGTTAAGTGAAAAAATATATATTAAATTCACTCAGCTATTTGCAACAACTAAGCTTAACAACTTGCTGAAAGAGAAAAGTGTGGAAAACTAAGCAGGGTCAATGACTAGATGCCAGTAATTTGTTCTGTTTTCTTGATAACTAATAAAGCATCAAATCAATCAATTTTCAGTGGAGAACTAAAATGAGTACAATTATCAGTCAGCTCGGTACCTTAAATTGACGCGATAAAATGGATGGATCTTATGCAGAATAAACCTATAGACCCAACAGAACTGATCCCATGACAAGCGGACAAAGCTTTTAGTATTGAAGTCTTAAACTTTTCAGATCAAGAATAACTTACAGGTACAGCCCACACTGGCACTGTGTTATCTTTCATAGGATATTTAAGGTCTTCCATCATGTCCCTTCCCACGAAGCGATAAAATGGATGAATGGCAAACAGAACGACCTCTATCACCAGAAGAAGAAGCAATATAAGCCAGTCTTGCAAGTGATTTCTTGCAAGTGAAGCTCCATGAGATTTGATAGTGTGAGCAGCAGGATCGACTTGCCCCATGCTTCCCTGCCGTGAAAAACAAAGCCAGACAGTGAAATTGGGACGGAACCGTCTAATTACCAGGTTGGGACATTGTAAAAACTCAAGCATTTCCTGCACTAAGATATCAAATACTTTCAAGATGGCTTTAAACTCTTATTAATTGACCACGCTTCCTGTTGTAAGAATCTAAACTTAATACAAATATACACGCTTGTTATTCCCTCTTCTGATCGAAGAAGAAACACTGCTTGAACATGTAAAATTTAGGTAATAATAGCAGACATGTTTTCATACTGTATCCCTACCTATGATCATATGTTTTCAGAATTCTGTTCAAATTCCATAACTCTCCTATTACACCTTGGTGAATCTGTGAATCAATATAAAATGAAAATTGAAGAGCGCCCAGGTTACGCTGGTTAAGCTAGACTAGGAAAAGCAGTTCTACTAAAACGTGACAATTCAAATTGTCGTGCACCAAAACTTTGGCAAAACTACAAACCTCTGTTTCGGTATAATATAGTTCTCTAAAATATGACACTACAATCCAAATTCATAAACTGGCTGAAGATTAGGAACATGATTTACGTAGTTAACTGAATTTAAAAATTGCACTTGACAAAAGGATAATTGTTGAAAAATTATATGATAGCGCAAAACCACTCCCTACCGAATCAGGAAAACGGAAAGAAAATCAGAAAGCAGTTCACTAACCTTAATCAAAGCCCAGAATCTTCCAAACGGAAATAGAGACGGCAGCACATCCTTCCACGCCATAGAAAACGAGGCAGTTTATGAGCGGAGTCACAAAATTTCCGATAATTATGCCTATAATACAAAGACGCTGAGATTAGCCCACAGTACTGAGGGAGATGGATGAAAAAGGTTCATTGTTCCAGAAGGAAGAGAGAGAGAGAGAGTGAAAAATTATCCTAAACAGGACGAAAAAGAAAGTTAAAACACAAAGGAGTAGAGGCAAAGAAAAGCAGCCACTGAGTAAAATGGTGTTAATTTCAAAATTAAAAAAAAAAAGAGGAAATTTTCTGGGAAAATTGGAATCGGGGAAACTTTATCACCAAAGAATATTTCAGTCACCAGTGAATGCACGGAAAGAGAGAGAGAGAGGGAAGTTTCAACTTCGCAAGTTCGAAACGAGATGATTTGGCGCGGAACGGTTGTTTCATTCCTTGCGCGATCGCGTGTCACATTGCGCTTGAACCGAAGTAACGACACCTTTTTTTTTTTTTTAAGGTGTTTGTTTGGCATAAGTAAATAAATGGAAAAAATGAGAGTAAGTCCCTTCGAATTACATGTCATAGTTTAAATGAAGTTCCTTTAAATCTCTATATCAATAAAATTTAAAATTAAAAATTATTTTATTTTTTATTAAAAATAATAAACTTTAATTATAATTTTTATTTTATAAATTATACTAGTTAAATAATAAATTATAATTTATCAAATGTAATTCTGTTGTTAAAAACAAGTTTTAATTATAATTTTTATTTATGAAATAAAATTTTTTGTTATATGAATCATAAGAGTTGTATAAAAAATTATAATTTGATAAGTGTAATTTTTATCATTAAAAACTAAGTTTTTAAAATAATAAACCTCATTGATAACTTTTATTTAAAGAATTATAATTTTTATTTAAAAAATTATAAAAATTGAACAAAAAATCACAATTTGTCAATAAAAATAAAATAATCTTTTTAATAAAGACTTTATTAAAATTATAGTATTTTAAGGTATCAGATTATCATTTATATAATTCAGATAAATTTTATTATCATTTTTTAAAATAAATTCTCACATTAAAAAATATAAAACATTTTAAAGTAAATCTCTCCTTAATAAATTAGTTATTTATTTTTAAATTAATACTATCTTTTCATATTTATTTATATTTAATATGACATTTTACTTTAAAATAAATATAAAATGTTCTTTCATTAGGGTCACCGCTAAAAAAATTATAATGATTATACCTTAAAATATTAAAAATATTTTATATTTTTAAACATTTAATATTTTAAAAAATATTTTATATTTTTTAATAGAGGGAATAGAAATTTTCGTCTACTAAATAATAATAATAACATAAATTTTTAACATATTTTTTATCTATTGAATAGGAATTCTTTGATCAAATATACTGAAGTATAATTTCTTTTTGAAAAATTTTTAAATAAATTAAGCGCATCATATCATTTATGTTCTATCTAATTTTTTTTTATTTTTTGTATTCATATTGATGTTTATAATTTTTTTTAAATGTAAACATAATGTTGAATATAATTTAATTTGAAATATTAAAGTAATGTTATTCAAATTGTCAAATAACAATTCATGGCCACTGACAAGTGAATTAATGATCTGCCAACACAAAGCAACAGTCTCGCAGATACAGAAATGAAGATATTTGTGTTTTGCCGAGAAAAGTAGAGATTGACTTTTCTCATTTTTTTGATTCGTATTGCCTTTTATCATTTTTTAATTCTTGTTTATATAATAATTATCATTTTTCCTCCGTTTGTTTTATGTTGTTTTTTAAGCAATTTTTTATTGATTTTTATTTTAAAAATTTTAACGCGGTATTAATTATAGTTTTTCATATCATCATTATATACGTTAACTTCAAAAGTTCATCATAAACATTGATTGCTAAAATAAATTTAGCATTTTAAAAAAATATATTTCATGTATTAGTTGAATTTCTTATCCAGAATATAATTGTTAATTATTAAAATTTCATCTATTATAAAAACGATTACTCTCCCTTTCAAAAGTACAAGATATATTTTTTTTTTTTTGAGTTGGGAAAACAATATAAATAATTTTGGATCTTTTAAAGTATAATTAATGATATTTCCCACACACAAAAAAATAAACCTGAATTAGGGATTATAATTAATAAAAAATTTTAATTGAGACCCGATTAAATAATGATAAACGTAGAAAAAGTATAATTTTAAAAATAATTAATGAACTTATTGAAAGGTGTAATTTAATTAAAAGTGTTATATAACGTTGAACAAAATGATAATTATTTAAAGTTACAATACATATATTAAAAAAAATTCAATTGATGAAAAGTATTACAATAATTAAAAATATTCAAAACATATCCTCCATCTATTATCAATTATCAAATTTAAATTTATTAGATGAAAAGTATTTTTAAAAATTTATATTTTAAAAAATATAGATTCAAAATTAAATTTAATTAATTTTTTTTATTTTCAATTTTATCAAAAAAGGATCTCATAAAATGGAGTGGAGAGAGTACTTAATAAAATTATACTCCCTCTATATCAAAATGTAAACAAATTATAATCAACTCACAAAATTTATAAAATTGGTTAAGCAAAATAATTACACATAAGATTAAAAAATTTGAAGTAAATTATTCTTATTATTAACGAAACAAGTTTGTCTCATGAAAATAAATTTTGATTTAATGAGATGTAGTTTAAAATATATATATATATATATAATAAATACTTCTTAAATTTTATAGTTTTATTTATGAATAAAAAAAAGCAGATAATGCTTTCTCAAGTAATAAAAAATAGAGGGAGTAGTTAGATAAAAAAAAAAGACAAGGCCATGCATTTCTATAATAAAAAATTAAAATAAAATAAAAGGTTTAAAACAACATTCTGGAAAGAGTATTAGCGAGTTATCTTCTTCCACCTTTAAATGTGAACATGTTCTTTTCTCTATTTTTTTTTTTTTACGTTTCTTTTTGTGCCATGTTCTGATTCTTGAGTTTCAATCATAAATCATAATCCCTCCCTCATTTAATTCTCACTTTAGAATTCTTTATACCAATTAAGGAAAATTTAATTAGTAGTTAACAAAATGTAATGATATTCATTAAAATGCTCCTATTTATTATAATACCTTAAAATAAACACTTCATATTTATTGAAAGGAAAAATTATCCAGAAAAATAATTAATTAATTAATCAATCTCTCACAATCATTTGTATGCATTCAAGATTTATCACATACATCTAAAACACTACAAAAGTTATGAGGCACTTTTTCCTATAAAAGGCTTTTTAATTGCCCCCTCTCACATATATCTTTTTATTATAAACAATCATGATTCGAAACATGATCAAATATTAAATATAAATATCTCTCCTAATAATAATTTAAACATTGATTTATCATATTATGAGAAATTAATCTATTTTACTAGACTCAACCCTTGTTACTTTCTATAAATGATTTTTAATACATGATGGAATATCACCTTATTTAATCACATACTTAACAATTCAAATTAAACCCTACCATGATAACTAAGCAAGGATCATTTAAACTTACCATGGCAAATAGAAATTCTTTTATGAAAAATGGATACCTAGTTTGCAATTAAAAACCTAAAAGATTTAGGTTAAAATAAATCTAAATCAGAGTATCAAAACAAATTGAAGTATGGGATAATAATTAGGTTTGAAAACATTTGCATAAAATGGGTAAATATGTCATTTTTCAACACACCAAGCCATTCATGGTTGAAATGCATTGTGCAACGGTTGGTTGCTATTTGCACTATACGCTACGGTGCATTGTGTAAATCTTGACAGCATTGAGCTGTCATTTGACAAATTTCAAGGTCCAATTTCCAACGAGTATAAAATCTCTATTTGATATTCAACTGAGGTAATCTAAGAATCCTTAAAAAGCTCATTTCACGAACTAGCTAATAGTACTGCTTTCATTTTCAAATTCTTTCATACAAAGGAGTTTGACACCTAAATATTGTACACTTTTACTCAACAAAGAGGTGTCCAAACCCCATATCAAGTGCCAGAAGCTCATACAATCACCTAAGCCAAAGTTAAAGGAATTAGGATAACCTATATAACACACAAATAGATGCCAGATCTCATTTTTCAATCCTTAATCTCATATTCATCAAAAGTAAAAGGGAAGCAAATCATCATTCAATCATCAGAACAATTCTTTACAATAACCCAAAAAGCATACTTACACTAATATTTTGGCCATGATCTAACATTCATAACCCATACCACTTGGCTTAGAGCACAAAATACCAACAATCAATCACATATGTAGGCAATGGTGCAAGTAGACAAAAATAAATGTCCTAGCTGGCATTATTATAGTCATTACACATAAAGAAAAACAAATTAGAGGCTATACGATAAGAAATATGTGTTCCTAAGTCTCTTGTGCTTTTTCCTTGTCTTTAGAGCTAGTGTAACATGCTAAATTTTATATAAGCATATTAAATAAGGTAGAAATGGGTTAGGAGTAATGGAGCAAGATTTGGATCCTTAAGATTGAATTTTAGGAGGAGTTTGGGTCTCTATGCATAACCGTTTGCGTATGTACCTCAAAGGGTGAAACTCATGCAAATGAGCATTCTTGGAAGAAGAGTGTGTTCTTTGTTCACAATTGTTCATGGTCCAGCTTTTTAGTAAAGACAACCATCCGCAGTTGTGGATAAAGGGAGCAAATTTGCATTAGTGATTTCAACTATAAACGATTATGATTATAACATGTACAACCATTCATGGACAAAGCATTGCCATTTTAAATGCTTAAAAATGCAAAAAAAAAAAAATGAATAGAATGGAAGGGAGTTGGAGCTCTGCTAAGTCATGCATCTTCTTACACTTTTGGGCATTTTTGAGCTTGCGATTGTGAACACCGTATTTTGTCCGGACATTTTTTTTAAATTTAATAATAAAATCAAAAAATATAAAAAAATATACAAAAATGAAATTTAATTCTTTTTTAGATTTATATTTTCAAAAAAAATCTTGCTTAAATTCTTTAAAAAAAATCTCTCTCACATTATCTCAACTATTCAAAAATATTGAGTGTCAATTTTTTAGAGTAAACTTTTCTCTCCTTAAATATTTTTGTTCTCCATTTAAATATATATATATATATATTTTTAAAATTAAATTTTCCTTTCTCTCCTTTAATCTAATTAAAAAAAAGAAGCATTAAAAAGAATGGCAAAAATGCTGGACATGCACGTACGGAGCATGAGAAGCTTCACAGAGCAAGCAAAGCCCAGATGCAGACTAAAAAAAAATTAAAACACAGACACGAAAACACTTTGAGCCAGACGCATGCATGCACAGCAAAACAAGC